CTAGGGTGGTTCCTATTATCAATAAAATAAAAAATCTAACTTTTTTGTTTGAATAAATTAAGGTATACATTCTTCAACAAAATTATAGCTGAGCTAATTTCAAGCAACTTTGTAAAAAAAAAAAACAACTTTTTCAGAGCTATTTTCTTGAATTAAGTTAGGGTGGCTGTAAAAAAACAGTTGTTTTGCTCTAGTTTTCTTATTTAGAATTTCTCAGCAAAGGTGTCGTTAAAACTTCACAGTCTACTGTTTTCGAGGTATATGCATTTAAAAAATATAATTAAAATTAAAACACTTATTTTAACATTTTTCCTGTAATTCCATTTAACTCGAAAACAGTAGGCTGTGAAGTTTTAACGTCTTAAAAAGAGTTGTTTATTTCATCAAGACAAATAACTTTGCCAAAGTCGTCAAGTCTTCAAAACACAAGTTCAATGCATTAAAAAAAATTATAGAAAAAAAATCATGTTCCGCTAAAATAAAGAAATCTAAAAATTTTGATATTTTGTTTACAGAGTATTGCTTAATTTTTGCTGAAAATTTCAGGTTGCGATTTTTTGCGCTTTGGGAGATATTAAAGTTCAAAAATTGTCTCTTTTTTTTCGTGTTTCAACAATTTCTTTAAAATTTGAAGCTTAATCCAGTATGTTTCTTCACAAAAGTTATTTATTTATTGCATTTGCATAAGAGAAAAATACAACATTATATGGTTGTAAGCAAAAAAAAACGGAACAGAAAGAAAAAAATATATTTTCGACATTATTTTTTTTTAACTCCATATAACTTGGAACCAATAGACTGTGGAAATTTCACGTCTTTGAAAGAGCTGTTCATTTTGTCAAGATAAACAACTTTGCTGAAGACATCAAGTCTCCAAAACGTCAGAGAAAGGAGTTAAATTGCGGCGCCATCTTTGCGGAAGAGTTTTGAACTATTTTTTATGTCAATAGATGGTACTTATTATGATGAGAACTTTTGCCCAAGACACCAAGTCGCGAAAATGTTTCGTTTCGGAGTTATTAATTTTGCTCCGCTAGGTTGCATTCCAGACCCAGTGTGCAATGTAAGCATTAGACATTTTAAGAAATTACGCTTGGTGTTTTTTCTTGCCTGCTGTCCTCTGTCGCCATGATTTTTAGTGTGCATTGGTATGAATTTATGTATTGGGATCTATTTTCTGTAAAATTAAGATGATTCCATCAAATTCATTTGATTTCTGAAACAACCTTTTTTGTTAACTTGAATTATTTTGGAGGCGCATTTATTTAACGCTCATATTATTCCAATATACACGATAAAATTTCAAGCGCATATGTTTTGAAACTTCTAAAAAGTCATATATTTTCTTTAAGATTTTGACTAATGTCGCCATGAAACAAAATTGATTGCATGGTGATCTTGACACCAACACTCAAACCTACTTTTACCGCTAAAGATTTCCATATGAAAAAAAAAAGTTTCAGCAAAACAGAACAACAACAAGCTAATTTATGGCGGTTGCTTCGAAGAAAATAAAAATTAAATTGGATTTATAACTGAAACCAAAGCGTAATAAAACTGCTTGAATACAATATTACTCTTAAAGCGGTTATGAGAACCTTTTGTAGAGTATGAGGCTTTCTGACAAAAGGTTTTAAGGCAGTTGTGATTCTCAAACACGCTTTATAAACCTTATCAAGAGTAGTCCACTAAGCTGTAAGACGATCTTATAGCGGTTATCAAAAGGTTGTGCTGGAGCTATTAATTTTATTGACGGTTTTATAAAATTGATCTCACAAACCACTAATAGAGTGCAATAAAACAAGAAATGCTACTTGGGTATGAAAGTCCCTCCTACTTGGAAAATTATGCTATAGAACGGTTTATACAAACCCAGTTTTTTTTTTTTTGCATAATTCTTCAAGTAGGAGGGACTTGCAATGCTTATCTCTTAGCATAAATAGAGGTATCGTCGAGTTTAATTTCAGTGCTAGGTTCTGAAATTCGACAATGAGCGTTCAAAAGGGCCTGCTTGTAATGTTCGATTCTCTTCATCGATTTTCTGTTTACAGCTAAGCGAAACAATTCAAGCTGAACATTGCATTAGGTCCTAAGTAACACTGACAAGATTCTCTTGAATCCACTCGGCCCAGGTATTTTCAGCACACATATCGATAAAAGAAGTTTTTATCTAGCATCTAATATGACAAACACAACAAGAAACGATTCTGTGCTCAAGTTATTAAGGCTCTGAACCATTTGGTGGATTATTTTAACTTTTGGTTAAAATTTGACAGATGGAAAGTTATCGATTAACCCTGCTATCCGAGCGTGGTTATTTCTGACAGACAAGAAGTTAAATTTTGACGACCGTGGCTCGAAAACCGGTCGATCGACAGCACGGGTATTTTTGAACATAAGAAATAACTTTCGAAATGTCACTTTTAACTACGAGTTAAATTTAACTCGGCAAATGGTTCACAGCCTGAGGCTGTGTTCCATTTGGTGAATTTTTACTTATATTTGACAGATGGAAAATTTTCAAATAAACCTGCTATTCCAGCAGACTAATTTCTGACAGACAAGGAATCAATTTGACAGACGCTTTCTCGAAAATCGGCCGATGTACAACTGAGGGATTTTCGAACATTTTAATTTACTGTCGTAGTGTCAAATCTAAGTAAAAATTTCCCATATATGGAACACAGCCTTAGTATTTTTTTTATTTGTTCAATCGGTAGATAAAAGATGTACCGAGAACTTATTGGAGGGATTCATGGCTAATTGATATCATCTCGATCAACTATGAAATGTTGCATAATATTGATGCAAAATTGTGCACTCCGTTTTTGTGTGTGCATTTATTTTTAGCGTTTTGAAGTTGAATCGCTGAGGATCAATCTCATTACCTTAGAAAAATTTCAAGAGTACAGATATCAGCTCTCACAAAACTTATAACAAAGAAACCTGAACTTCACGTTTGTTGCAGTCCAGTACACAAGGAGTTTCAATTTCATGAGTGATGTCACAACCGTCCAAGATTTGTGTCCTAGAAATCTTGAAGTGCTAGGGAATATCAGCCATCATGACGGTCATTGTTGGACGCTTCAATGAATCACCTGAAGAAAGTCTTACTCATATCTGATTGTTATTTAGGAACCAAATTTAATAAAATATGTTTTCGCATTTTTATGAGGTCCTGAATTTAACCAAGTTTTACTAAGTAGAAAATCCAAAATATGTACATAAGACCGAAATCACTTCTACTGTATTTTAAATAAATATCTAGAAAAACACACGAGAATTTCACTACACAGCTTAACGTAGTCTACGTCAACCATGCGGTCGTGTCTTGTACACAAACCCACCATTTTTTTATACATTTCTCCGTAAACACAACATGTGCGATCAATTATTTTTTGAACTTTTTAATGTTGGGTATCTGGGATTTTATGTGCCTACGCTTGTGCAGGGATGCAAACAAATTTAAACATTTTAAATATTGATTATTGAAGATTTCACAAGCATATAATGCTTAACTATCAAATTTTTAGGTCCCACTTGACCCGGTGTATCTTAGATGTCGAAGCCTATAACTTTCTGATATGATTTATCAACTGCATTCATGATTTTTTGCCCTATTCTTCGTGCCAAGCACACCAATGTTGCCTGCTGAGAAATTTATGGAGCATGTCATAGGCATATCACCTTGTTCATTAATTAATAACTAATTATTCTGACGTTCAATGTAATACCCCGTTCACATTACAGCATATATCACGTGATATACGCTGTCTTGCAACGAGCACTCATACATCTAGTTTTCACTGGAAGTCCTATGTATGAGTGCTGATTGCAAGACAGCTTATATTACGTGATATAGGCTGTAATGTGAACGGGGTATAAATGGGGTCTTCAGCAAAGATTCAGTTTTTCTGAAGATCATTACAACGAAGAGCTAGAACGATGAGAACAATAAATCCATTTTCCCATAGTAATTCCCATATAAAGTTCAAAGGGCCAGTGCAGAATGAGTTCGCATCCAAATAAGCTCAAATTTTGGGAGAATTACCAAGACCTGATTTGAAATCGATTGGGCTTGGTGGAGCTTAATCGGTATTTTGAACCACCCTAATGCACTAGTTGAATTATTTGTAAAAACCTGAATTTATCTACCTATGGTGGGATCTGACCCTTCATCCATATAAAATATTATATATCGCATTAAGAGATTTAACTCAAGTCGGATTCTGGCCACATCCTTGGGGCACCAGGATAATGTCCCGGTGTGACCAATGTGGTCCAGGATACATATGATCAATGATTTTATTTTTGTACTCTCATGTGATTAGATGTGTCGCATGATGGGTTTTAGTTCAAGTCAGATTCTGTACACTTCCCTGGAGGAACTCGGAACATGTCCATGAGATTGTGCCTGTGTCATAGTGGTCGTATGAAAAAAACAGGAAAGTTGTCAGTCTTCTTGATTCTATTGTTTACGGTCTTTTTGTTTGTGTTCTAATGTAATTTAACTCAATTAATGATAAAACATAGCACTATTTTATGTGTAAAGGGTTATCTACGAAAACAATTGGACTCACTTAAATAGCTATATATTTTTAACCATGACAGCAAATAACTTGAAATTTTCAAATGTATATTTTTTAGAGAATACACTCTACTGTGTGTAGACCTAAAACTGAAATGTATTTTCACTGAAACTCCGTAACAGTATCAAATTTATATGTTGTTGCACCGACACAGAATTCAATTTGCTCTTTTAGCTTATATTATGCAAATAATTGGCCTAAAACAATTTTTCAACAAGGACGAACCAACTTTCCTTTGAACATTCAATGTTTAGAATTATAGCAAAGTCTATGAACGCAACGGATTAAAAACTTTTGACAATTAACGAATAAAATGAATAGGGTTGGTGTATCAGTTATACACCCTAACTGGTAAACCAACCCTATTCATAAAAAATACCTTTTTGTGAACAACTCATATAAAAGACGTACCTTGATAGCATACGGAAAGTATTTTTCCAACACTTTAAGAACTTCATGCAGGTCTTCTTCCTTTACCAGGACAAAATGTTTACCTTCAGGAATTATTTCCATTTTGCCAGTGATCTGAAAAAGAAAATGAAAATTTAAATTAATATGACCACGCACGCCACTTAGGGTATTTAAAGCGAAAAACTGATCAAGATTAGAGTACCAAAAGTCTATTCTTAGTCGATGGGTAAACTGCCATTCATGAAAATAGAATTAGGCTATTTTTACTCTCGTTAAATTATTAAAATTACGTTTTCGATATTTTTAAATAAATCATAGCACGAAAACGGCTTATCTAATCTAAATGACGTATGGCACAAAGTTGTAGGAAACTGGTTTGCTACACGGAAAAATAACATTCTCGTTAACAAATGAGAAAAAAAAACAAATGTTTAGAACTCTAATAAAACAAACTTATGTTCATTGGAAAGCTTTTTAAAAAATGCTAACTTTTCTGAAATGATCACAATGGACACTTCAGAATTGGCCAAAACCGTAAAACATGAACTTTTAGTACAAAATTTGAGAATGAGCATGAGCTGAGCGTAAAATTATTGACTGCTTAGGCTGAGAGTGAAATCACTGCACTATTCAATGCATTGCTCTGTCCAGACCGTTTGTACCAAACGTTTAAGAACGAGGCAATGAAAGAGCCAATAAAAACATGCAGTCACTCAAGAACAGGTGACTCACACCGCTTGCCTTCGCTCACACAGCATGTAATTGAGGAATTTTTCCATATAAAATGTACGCTCCGCCATTCAAAACAATGATTGGGTACCATCACGGAAGAATAAACGTGCTGACTGAGTTACTGACTGAGTGCTCGGCTGTCAGTGATTCGTTTACTTCCCAATAATTCAGACTCTCACAAGGCAGTGAATGATGAGGCAGCTGGCAGTTCATATGTGTGTGTATGTGTGTGTGTGTGTGTGTGTGTGTGTGTGTGTGTGTGTGTGTGTATGTGTGTGTGTGTGTGTGTGTGTGTGTGTGTGTGTGTGTGTGTGTGTGTGTGTGCGTGTGTGTGTGTGTGTGCCTCTCTGTGTGTGTGAGCCTCTGTGTATGTGAGCCTCTGTGTGTGTGTGTGTGTGTGTGTGTGTGTGTGTGTGTGCGTGTGTGTGTGTGTGTGTGTGTGTGTGTGTGTGTATGTGTGTGTGTGTGTGTGTGTGTGTGTGCCTCTCTGTGTGTGTGTGTGTGTGTGTGTGTGTGTGTGTGTGTGTGTGTGTGTGTGTGTGTGTGTGTGTCTCTGTGTGTGTGAGCCTCTGTGTGCGTGTGTGTGTGTGTGTGTGTGTGTGTGTGTGTGTGTGTGTGTGTGTGTGTGTGTGTGTGTGTGTGTGTGTGTGTGTGTGTGTGTGTGTGTGTGTGTGTGTGCGTGTGTGTGTGTGTGTGTGTGTGTGTGTGTGTGTGGTGTGTGTGTGTGTGTGTGTGTGTGTGTGTGTGTGTGTGTGTGTGTGTGTGTGTGTGTGTGTGTGTGTGTGTGTGTGCGTGTGTGTGTGTGTGTGTGTGTGTGTGTGTATGTATGTGAATTAAAGGCTAAACCGAATAAACTTTGCAGAGCCATTATCATTCGCGTTATACACTATTCATGTCTTAAGTCTAATAATGACTATCATTGGACTAGGTACACAATCGCGCGTAATAAGTATTCATAATCGATAAAGAAAACTCGTTGAGAATATGTTCAAAGGAAGATTGATCAGCATCAAAACAACAGCAAAGAGTTATGGAAAATTTTGAAATCTTTTGCAAACCGCGGTTTAATAGCACATTACAACAGTCAGAACAAGTAATTGCAGCTAAGTTTAATGATTATTTCGTAGATAGCGTTTCATTTATTAATCAATCTATTGAATTGGTCGATGAACCTGACGAAATAAAACAGCCAGTTAATAGTAGTTGTAGATTTGAAGTTTTTCACCCAATCACATTAGATGAACTTAGAGTTATTTGTTTTTCATTAGGAAAATCGGCTGGAGTAGATAATGTTAATGCTAGAGTTATTCAAGATTGCTTTCATGTCATTGGCCACATCTTGCTGGACCTTATTAATTAATCATTACAAACTGGACATGTGCCACAAATTTGGAAGGAATCCTTAGTGGTCCCTATTCAAAAAGTTGCTGGAACGATTAAAGCCGAAGATTTTCTTCCCATCAACATGTTGCACACATTAGAAAAAAAATTAGAACTTGTTGTTAAAGGCCAGCTGTTGGAGTATTTAAATAGTAATAGTTTGTTGATACCAGAACAATCGGGATATCGGGAAGGTCATTCATGTGAAACCACGTTGAATTTGGTATTAGCGAAGTGGAAAAATAACTTGGAGTGTAAAGATACGATTGTTGCTGTTTTTTTGGATCTTAAACGCGCTTTTGAAACAATTTCTAGGCCCTTATTGTTGAGATCAATCAAGCGCTTTGGAATTACGAGTACTGTACATAAATGGTTTGAAAGCTATTTGTCTGACAGAACTCAACGGACTGTTTTTAATGATTCTGTTTCCAGTCCCGTGGAGAATAACCTTGGAGTGCCCCAGGGAAGTGTATTAGGGCCCCTGTTATTTATTATGTATATTAATGACTTGCGACGTGCTTTACGATTTTGCGACATTAATCTTTTTGCAGATGATACTGTGTTATTCATTGCAGCTAAGGATTTAGATGATGCCGTTTTACACTTGAATGAAGATTTGCGTTCTCTAAGTAGATGGTTGAAGTATAAGCAGTTAAAATTGAATACAAGTAAAACTAAATTTATGGTAATTTCGCGGAACGAGTAAATGAGAACCTCTCTGTTGTAATTGATGATGAGACTATTGATCGCGTTCGGGAGATTAAATATCTTGGCGTGATTATTGATGACACACTTAAGTTCAACTCTCACATTGACAATGTCATCAAGAAAATTGCCAAGAAGTATGGAATTCTATGTCGACTGAAAAATGATTTAACTATTGCCAGTAAAATACAGCTATACAAATCAATCATCTCTCCTCATCTTGACTTTTGCCCTTCCATTTTATTTCTGGCCAATGCAACACAAACATCGAGATTACAGCGCTTGCAGAATAAAATAATGCGTTTGATTTTGAGATGTAATAGATTCACTTCCTCAACTTTGATGTTAGACGCCTTACAATGGTTGTCGGTGAAGCAATTATTTTTATTAGGGCATACATTTAATCCAAAATCTCCGAAAACTTCAAAAAAAAAAGCGCCAGCTCATGTTACATCCTTTATTAAACTTAGAATGGTCTGATCAGTAAGAAAAAGTGGTCGCTCTAAGATTACCGAGCCTCTCATATCACGTACCATCTATGATCGAGTTGTCGAAAACGATACCGACGGCGACGACGATGGTGATTTCGAAAAACTCATGATAAGCAAACGATGAGACTATTTATCTCCTTAATGTGAAGCAGGGAAGCAGCTCCCACTCTTAGACCATACCTGTTGACCCATCAACTCATGAACCGGGAACCAGGCTTGCTGAAACTCCTCAAACTCATTGGAGGTTTTAAAACACCCTTGTCCTGCGAGTTTAGCAAGCCCTCACCTCGAGTGAGTAGCGGCAGGAATATGGAAGAAGTCTAGTCTAGTCTAGTCTAGTCTACACATACACAGCCAGTACTTGAAAGAATCCTGGAAAATGATACATCTATCATTTTTCTTGTCATTATTAATGCCTGCTGCACATCAAGGATGTGAAACAAACAATAAAGCGGCCAGGCCTACTGTGTAGCGTGTGAATGTTTACCATGTCTACTTAATAAGTATAGACAGTGGTTAACATTTAATCCACAGGTAATCAAAGAGCGGGGACATACCGTACCAACCGCTCCGTATGCAGGATTTGAAAATAGGCTATATAAATCGTTGGGAGTGACAGAGCTAAGAAAGTTAATGTACACTCCTTGGTTTTCCGATCTCCTGGGATGGAACACAGGTATTTACCCCTTGTGTTCGAGCGTACAGTCCTCCCTCCGTACAAGCGTGGACGGCACCGCCCACCCACTGCCATCCCTCAATCGATCCAGCTGACCTCAGTCGAAGGACAACAGAGAGCGGTGTGCGGACGTAACCTATAAGGAGGGAATCCTGTATTCGCCTAGGTTATAGCGCCCTTGCTCGCTATTCGTTATTCGCTGTCTACAATGAGAAGAAACAATGCATGAAATTTATAGTGAGTAATTTTAATGAATGTATATATATGTATATATATATATATATATATATATATATATATACACATCCATACATATATATATATATATATATATATATATATATATATATATATATACACATCCATATATATATATATATATATATATATATATATATATATATATATATATATATATACATATATATACACACATATACACATATACATATATATCCATATATGTATACATATATATATATTTGACTTAAATTGATATATATATATATTAGCCGTCACGATTGAATGCGCATGTTTAAACAACGTTGATCCAGGTACCTATCATATAAATTTGCATATAATCTAATTATGATTATTGTCAATAATACTAACATTTCGATAAAGATGATGCTGCCTACTTTACCTGTTATGTGATACTTATCATCACAGAGTCCAACCTTGAATCGCAGACCAGGTCCACTAACAAAACAAAGGGGTTTATGGTCTTCTTCTTCTTCTTCAGGTTCGCTCACCAGCCGGAATGAAGGCTCGGTGCGGTTAGTAATATCAAACAGTGTTACATGCAAACGAAAAAACGAAAAAGAGATACAACCAGGATTAGTTTTTTAAAGTAATAGTTTCATCTGAATACCCAACTAACCATATCTCAGTGACATTGTACCACTCTGAACCCACACCTAAAGCTATTTTGTGATTATATGGTTACTTTGGTATTCACATGAAATGTCGTGCAAGTACCAGAGGTTCAACAACGCCCAACTATGGACAGCTCAATGTTAATACCATTTACTCTTTGAATCAGCTTACACCAACATGATAATCTACTAAGAAACATCTAATAGCGAATTCGTTTATTATTCAGTTCCAACCTGGATCGGGTATCACGATTG